TTCGACACCAAAGTATTTTTTTTATTGTATTTGTGAATGCCACCTCAGACTGTCGTAGATTGTGACGTCTCATATATTCAATGTTTACTGTTTTCTCAGACCGCACCCACTCTCTCGGACACACTTATAAGAAGGTGCACGCCAACAATTAGGGGGTCACAGCATCGAAGCACCGCTACTGTTGCTGTTTGGGGTCGTGTGCCAACGCTCCGAGCAGCACACAACAAAAATGAACGAAACGAATGGAAATCCCGGGGACAGTCGTTTTTCATCCCCGTTTTTTGGGGTGGTATTTACCAATATGTAGGTAAAGCCGATGGCTGGTTCGCGGAAATTACCCGTCGATGAAGGGGTCCTTGGAAAAAATGAAAAATCGCCCGTTCGAGATAATAGATATCCCGTTCGAACTTTTGGAATTGTTGTCACTGGCGGACGCGGGCCGCAGTGCACTTAAGAGACACGATCGAGACGACAGCGGATAGAAGATCTGGCTTCCTTCACCCTTGATTGTACTAATAGTATCGAACTAGCCTAAATAGTCTCCTCCGTCAGGTGCGATGCTTGTTGTCAAGACAGCCACAGGTAGGTCGACTGGCCCGAACGTAACGTGTTAAATATATTGTATACATCCCGTTCGACTGTGGGTATATCTCGAATGGGTAGTCTTTCTGTGTGTGTTTTTATTATTCCTTAATACCTACAGGTACAGGTAGCATTCATCAGAGGCATTTTGCAATGTTTTTGTACTTAGCACCAGCTGGCATCACTGGTATAAATCATCAGTGTATAGACTTAAAAAGACTCGAAATAAGTCCAGTACCCAGCCGGTTTCCCTCCACTCACTGAAAAGACTCCACCACATCCCGTTCGACTGTGGGTATATCTCGAATGGGTAGTCTTTCTGTGTGTAGTCTTTCTGTGTGTGTTTTTATTGTTCCTTAATATTTCGGGAGACGATTTCAGATAAAGAGTCGATTCCGAGATATTCCAATAAATTTACGAGATTCCACCAGATTCAACAACGGAGAAACTGAAATTCATGACGTGAGGAGGAGGTGAGGTCGGCACGGGAATTATCAAGGTGTTTGTGGGTAGCGCCCGCGGCGAGAAAGGGCAGTAAGCCTGATACAGACGAGACACAGCAGCAGTAGTCTCTCGCGGAATCGACATATCGTGTGCACCAATGTACACTCGAGAGTTATGTTCTAACGAGCTGCCCGTCCCAAAGCCAAATAAACCTCGTCCGGAGACCGGGGGGATCTATCTGCAAAAAAAGAAGACAGACATAGCCCTTCTGCGTGCCGACGTACGCTCTGCGAAGGGGGCACTCTGCTGTTTGTTGGTGTTGATGACTCAGACACGGCAAGCAATACAACCCTACCTATCTTTAGTGATGGCTCATGCCGCGTCGATTTGCATGCCGGGTCGATTTTGCATGCTTTCTCCGAACACGCATTGCATTTTATTCTCCTCTCTACTCTTGCTGCTGTTGGTGCCCCGATCCCAAGAGCCATCGAGAGAGCGGACGGAGACTTTTTCGGGTTCAACGATCACGCCAATATGGAGGGGGAGACAAGCTGGTGGGGCGTGCAATTTGAACACAGCAGAGGCGAGCGGGATAAGAGGAGAAGGCCCTGCAGCAGCAGTCACGAGCTCTCTTGGGATGGCCAGCTCGGTTCTCGAAAGAGAGGGAGAGAAAGCGCATATTTTTGTACCGCCAGCTCCGCAGCACCAACACCCCCCACCGCCTACATGTATGTTGGTACTAATATACTGACTCTCCACACAGACCTGAGCTAGGCGCGGTTGTGACGGTGAACCTCCGCTGCCAATCTCGATTTTGACGGTATCGGCGATCTCCACGACGTCATTGACGTTGACTTGCTCTCCGGTGTCCCCCAGCTCAACGGCTCCGTAGTGCCTCTGCCTGCTGATTGGAGGTAGCCCACTGCTGTCCGTCGTTGGGGTATCGATCGATGACCCGACCCATCGGGTATTCATATTATTCTACCTTCGCCAAGCTTCGCCCGCTAGAATCAAAGACACGCCCTGCCAACAGACCCCGCGGTCGTGGGCGCAGCAAAAGCAGCAGCAGCGAACCGCCGTGCAGCGGTACACAGCCCTCCTATCAACGACGCCACGAGGTTTTGCTGCTTATACCCCTTTTACTGCTACAGAGGCTGGGGGTTGTGCCCGGCCCCTTGTTGTGCGTGTGCAAGAAATTCTACTTTGTCCACCCGCGCGGTCCGCTGCGCGCACTTGTACCAATCAAAAACGCAGATGATTTCTTCTCCATCCGTAAAGATCCCAAATCAGACGTGATGAAATGTGAAATGGTTCCTTGATGCAGAGAGGGCGGAGAGAGAACGACGAGGGGGATGGGGGCGCAAGCGACGCCCTTGGGTTGGGGAGCAACAAGCGGACGCCGCAAAGAACGGTTGTGCGCGCGTCCCTGTACCCGCGGAGGTCGTGTACATCTACTACGAGGGCACGAATTGTTTTCGCAGTGATTTGGTGATTTGGATGGGCGTGTGTCAGAAAGTTTCATAACCAACCATGTAACGTGTAACTAACTCTTTTCCTTCGCGTTTCTTCTTCTCGACGACCTCCCTAGACGATGGGGTCCTGGACCTTACTCATCATGGTGCGCCCGTCGGCTGGTAGTGATCCTGCCGCCATGGTTGGGACGGTGGAACAGGGACGGACAAGACTCACCGCCCCAAGACAAAACGCTAACGAAACCAACCCAAAAAACAACGCCCCGTGGTGCTGCAGCGACTTCGGGACTAAAAATTAAGGAATGATATGTGAAAAACATTCAAGACTTGCCGCTCGTCGCCACAGAAAGAATCAGTCCGATCCGATGTCGATTGATTGATTGATTGCAATCTCAGAGATACGAGTGTGTGCAGCTACGCTTTGCACACACTGCTAAATTACGGCAGCAACAGAGAGAGAGAGAAAGATAGAGAGAGGCAGAGAGAGAGAGAGGTGGTATTATACTACATTCTGCTATATACAGCAGCACAGCAGATACTACTGAGAAGTGCGACATAGTCGGAAGCGACGCGCTGCGAAGCTCGTTGTTAGTAAACTCGATCGACTTCATAAGTCGCGAGGGAAGGGATTGCTGTACCCTTCTCGCGACAAAAATATCTCAGGCAGGAACCGCAGGAGGGGGTCCAACCCCCCCCTTCTATGTGACCCCGGTCGTCTAGCTAGTAGAAGTGGAGGATAGGGGCCAGAGGGGCAGACGACAGAATCCAATGATGGGAGAAAAAAATATAAAACAAAAAAAATGTATGTAGGATGGATCGAAAATGGGAGATGATGACCTTTCTTCCAACTTCGGTTCTTTTCTCCTCATTTCGTTGTGTCGTGCTTGGAAGTTTTGTCCTCATTTCCGTTGTTGTGGTTGTTGTTGTTGCTGTCACAATCCCGTCCCCGAACTCAATATGCAGTTATTGTTTGATTGTGCCAAATGGTCGTTGCCTTTAAGTTGTTGTTGTTGTTGTTAGAATATCGTTGAACTCTTCTTCTTCTTGGTTGTTGTTGTCCAGACCCTCCAGCAGAAAGAGTATAATACTGATAGTCTATATATATATATGTAGGCAAACGTTCCGAAACTACTACTACTGCTGCTGCTGCCCTCCTATTATTATCCATCCTCCCGTTCAACCGAGGGAGATTTGCGTCGAGTAGGATATCCCTGACCATTCCTCATGGCAAAGCATGGCAAAAGAAAGACATGAAACTCCGTGAACGAACAAGGTTACAGCAGTCCGTGTTGCATGTTCGCATCGAATCGATCTGTTCTGTTTTTTTTTCTTTGCTCTGGCCGCCAGACTCTTTGCCCTCTTGGCCTCTCCGCTCTCTGTGTTCTTCTTCGTATATGTATGCGTACCAGACCACCACCACCACCAGCAGCCGGGGTCAGCAGAAGAACGGGAAGAAGTTGATTTTGTTCGTCTGCACTCTGATTGATCTGTTAGCTACAGGCAGACTCTTCGTCCGCGGTGCTTGACCCTCGTTGCGTGTAGTCGATCTCTCTCTGTTGTTCGGGTAGATGTACCGTGCGTGGCTATAACAGCATGGTACGGAGAGACGCTCTTGGTTCTAAGAATATTAGATCAATCTTACAGCAGTGACGTTGGAACTCGTCGGCACGTTGTTTGTCTGTTTTTTTTCTATTCATGGACAGACTAAAAAATCCCAGTTCGTTCGGTACATAACTGCGCCGCGAGATTCGAACTCGCCGACCGAGAATCGTTGGATCTTATTTGTAGGGGGTACCAAGGGGTACAGAACAAAACTCTTGTGTGTGTGTGCTGTCATTCTGAATCATTTTGTGTACGATACCCGTTGTCTATGCCTTGTCGGCGATGGCAACGCGTACACCATGGCTCAAACGTGCGACCATCTTGCGTAGCTTACATACATTCACTCGCTCGTAGAACAGAACCGAGTCGACTGTCGAGATCGAGGTCAACTATTGCATGGGGGCAGCTCACGAGGCAGTTCCGTTGTGAAGAAAGTGGCGTCATCGGTGATCAAGTTTCTTCTCCTCCTCGCAAAGAACACAACAAAACCATATTTTCCACAGATAAAGAATCCAAACCATATTTTCCACAGATAAAGAATCCGTGGTACGCGTATCATAGATTTAGCAATCACCTGAGATATCAAGATTTAGCAATCAACTGAGATATCGATCTCCGGGCTAAAACCGCACATCAGAGAAGAAATGTTTCTTTAAATCGCCATGCGTCGACAGGCAAGCGACAACAGAAGAAGTAGCCTACGCAGTTTTTTTCTTTTTTTTTCTTAATATGACGCAACGAATCCATCTCTATCATAGAAAAGAGTCAGAGACAGATTAGCAATGAATTCATAGCGTCAGAAAGAACCTGTATGTCTACGATTTCCCAGACAGCATATATATAGGGACATCTCCCCTCCCTGCGGGTAACAGACTCAACAAAACAGTTTGGCAGATTTTTCGAAGTTTGGTTGGGGCGGGCGTTCCCCGTGCGTGCCTGATCTGTTTCCTGGTAAATGTACTTTCTTTGCGTACACTAAGGGGTAGTCCTGCGCCGAGACGAAACGGGGCATTATCGCCGAAAATCAACGTATCAGATACAACACCAAATCACCGCCTCAGGAGAGGGATGGGTGCTGAAAAGTCACAGGTCAAGGCTGGCATGTGCTTCACACCGATCACACACAAAGAAGTCAATATTCCACGCGGTTGAGGCCAAGCCAGCCTGATTCTCAATGCGATCTCCATACTACTTTTTGTGCGACCACTCTGCGACGGTAGTTCCGCCGCCTATGGAATCAACCCCCATCTGTGAGAGTGATGGCTGCCTGGACCATAGGCTAACTCCTAAGAGACGGGATACATGTTCTCAAAATACGGCAACATCTTCATCCTGTATAGGGCGCGAGACCTACGATCTCCTCTAGCTCTTCCAAGGTCTGCTCGCCCGGGTACAGCTTCCCGTCAATGTCCCACGTGGGGAAACCCGGGATGTCAGCGGCCTTGCACATGTCAACCTGGTTGTCCACCCCACGGTTGGAACTGCAAACGACAACAATACACAGAGGAGGCAATGTACAATGCTTTCGGCTGCGGGCAGAATAGGCATTGAGAGGAGGCCATGTACGATGCGTTCGTCTATCTGCACACAGAGTAGACATGGGCGCCTGCCGGGTCAAGCGTGCTACGAATACAACAGTAGTAGGTCAAGCTTAGGCGTGCCTACACGTGGAAAAATCGGCACCGGAGTGAGGTACGGGAGGAGCGAAACGCACCGAATGGACGAAACCCCAACGTCAATGTCACCTCACATGTCACCTCACTACTTCTCGTATCTAATGTACCGTGGCGCCGGCAGACTAACCGAACCAGGACTCACCACTCGATGTACTTGACCTTCGACATGACCTGCTTGCCCAGCATCTCCTTTTGGTTAAAACAATGGGTGCACCAGTACGCCCCGTACATCTTAGCGTCCAAGGACTTGAGCTTCTTCCCAATCCGAAGCGCCTGCGAAACGAAACAGATCAGGGGCGAGCGGCGAGGGTTATTGCCGCCACTTCCAGGAACAGGACCAAGAGCATCTCCACTCGAACAGGACAAGCATCGCCGAGCCTTTGAATTCGGTCACGTCGGTCCCAAAAAAATTAATGGTGGGTAGAAAGAGAGGATTCTAACAGCGCAACGGGGTTGCAGAGGAGCAACACAAACACGTGCTGATAGAGCCTGAAGACTCTATCGAGAATCGCAGCGCCAACAACGGTTCCTGCAGCGTTCACAGGCCGCCGGAGGCGCACACACGGCGATAAAAACGCAAAGCGCGGTCCCAACAACGAGAGGACAGCGGGGGTACCGAGAAACGGTAAAGCGCAGCAAGCCTCTCGACCGCCGAATAACACGCACCGAGCCGTGAAAGGGGAGGACAAGCCCTCTGGGCAAAGCAGCAGAAGAAAAAAAACACGCCGAGTGGTTTTCGGCGACCACGACGGATGGGGGAAAAGAACATTTACCTCGTGCTCTACGACCTCGTTTGGCATCCTGGCCAATTTAGGCAGGCACCAGAGAAATCGCGGACCAGTCCCAAGGTTCGAGCACGATTCGCCACACCCAAGTGTGCAGTGCGGGATGGGTGCATACGTATGGTATGGAAATGCATGGTATGGAATTCGAGCTTCGTTTCGTACCTGAGGCGATGACTCCGTGTCGATCAACGGCGGTGCCACGAGCTGGACCCCGACAAGCTCGCCGGGGGATGCCTCCGCCTTGGTGCATCCAAGCAGGGCACGACAGGGCACGACAGGGCACGACAGGACAGCGGAGTGGTCAACGAACTCAAGGCGCTTCGACTCCACAAGCCAAAGGTACAGCAGAGGGAGGAGCACACAAAAGCGCTGTCAGGCGATCCTGAGCCCACAAAAACTGTCACCGTAGCCATGGAAAGAACACGCAGTACGAGCAGAAAATGCCCAATGCGTGAAGCGCGGCAAGCTGGGAAACGGCTGACCCGCCCTCATCTGCCGGTGCCGGAAATGATATTGCGGTTGAAGTCTCGCAAGCACTGCAACACGGCAAATAAATGTCAGCAACATGTTTCCGTAAAGATTGGTATAACTAGGACCGAACTATGCCGCATGTGAGGGATTGAAAAATAAAGGATCTTTGTCTCGAGCTGAAACTGCGTTCGTCAAACAAACATGCAGGGCCTTACTCTCGGGCCCAGAATAACCCACGCCAAACGGACTCGGACTTCTGTATAGCCACCAACAGGATTGGAACGAGCCCATTGAAACAAGATCCGCTCATGAACCTGGAGCCAAGCAAGCCCCGGTACGTATTTACCGGAACCACACAGATAACCGCGGGGGCTTGAAAAACAAATTTCGTTGAACAGCCTCGTCGGGGGGAAAGGGTCGGATGCCGCCCAGAAAATTACCTCCACAAGCACACCAGGAGGTAGGTCAGCCCCATCACCAAACAACAGAGAGGTTCAGTCAGATCATCGTGTCCCGGAGCGCGAACGTTTTCTTTCCCGCCTGAAACTTGGGGCGCAATACAATATAACACGGTAGCTCTTTCTCTATCTCTCTATCTCTCTGTCTGTCTATCTCTCTCTTTCTTCCTCTCTCAAAGTGTGTGCACAGCATTCGTAATTTCCTGTCTCTCCCTGCGTCTTGCCTGCAATACAGACGAATACCTGTCGGATGTCGAGAGCAGTCTCGGTGACCACGAAGACAGTCAAGCACGCGAAGGCGGTGATGAGCGTCGTGCAGGCCCCCACGACCGCTGCCTTCGTCTTCTCAGGTACGGCCCTCTTCATCCACGCCACGACGCACATCGAGAGCGACAGCCCAGCCTACGAAGGGAGGAAATCGCGATAGCCGCATCGCAGGGAGAGGGGGGGGAGACACACAGAGAAAAGAGACACAGGGACAGAGAGTCAAATGAACTACAATAGTGTGGGGGGCTGCCTAGTCCCGGTATGTGCCCAGAGAACTGACCGGCAATATGCCGGACACCGGCGCTATTCAAAGTACACAATAGCTTGGTAATTCAGTCTGTGCCCCAGACTGTGGAATAAAGTAGGACACAGAACTATTCGCGGCAGTTTACAAGGTCGTATATGATTGGTTCGAAAAGGAGAAGCAAGTGTCGGTTCACGTGTGACATTCATGAAGAGGGATGCGGCGTGACTTGGACGGATGAGCATGTGGCCGCCTCGTCGAGGTCAGTCCTGAACAATGAAGAGTTGTGTGGTGTGTCAACCAACGGTCTTGCATCTCTGAGGTTAGGAAACTAACGCGAGGGTTCCTCAGCACAAACAAACTCCCTCGATTGGACGAGGGTTCCACAAGACGCATAACCCCGCACAATACCGGACACCGGTACTAACCGGCCCCGTTCCACTGCTGTGGTGCTGCAGCATGTGAACATCGACTAGGACCACTGCTTGCATTTTCCTGGAGACGCTAGAATACCGTGCCCACATCGACAGCGACGCACGTTCCGGTCTTGCCAAGGCCGGTCGCCCCGGTGGTCTAGTTGGTAACCTCGAAACCTTCTAGAGGTCAGGTCAGGGGTTCGAATCCCGGCGTAAGCGAGCTTTTCTTGCAAAGTGAGTTTTTCTCTCGCTTCCGCTCCTGGCCTAGTGGATAGCGCTAGTTCGTGTGTACACAGAGGGAACAGAGTGCTGAACTCTTCTCGCATTAAAAATCGAAGGCAAAGTACCGCAGGAGGGGAGGGTAGAGAGGGGCTCTTCTGTGCGACCACGGGGTGGAGTAAACGGCACTAGTGCTGTGAGCGCTGATTTGAAGTGAAGACAAAAAAAAAAAAAAAAGGGGGGGAGCTTGACCCTTGACAAAAAAAACGTGAACGCACAGACCGCACGTCCATTTTCCGAACGGCCCCTGTGTGTCGCCAACCGTACGTACAGTATCGGGAAAGAAAAAAAAACGCGCTTCATATTTGCAACCAGCGCAGCGAAACGTGTTTCGTTCCACTACTCCACATGTTGGATGGTACGCACAAAGCCCACCCACAACAAGCACCACCATTCACACGCTTTCATCTCCCGGTGGTATGGGAAATCTACTCTCACACGCGGCCCGATTCACTCACCGACGTAAGACACCAGGGGCATGGGTAGCCGATCTTGAACTTGAGCAAGCTCAACAGGTACAGCGAGAACACGCCCATGGCAGTGGTTACAACCTGCATCGTGGGGTCACCGCATCATCGCAACGCCGAGATGGTAGCGGGAGAGGCATACACGCCGCAATGCTACACGTTCAAAAAAATTGAGTCTTTGGTAGCAGATGATACGCACAGATTGAGACCACCAACATAACGACAAAGTTCGACCTCTTTTAGATACAATTCAGAACCGACATCAACACCCATAAATGGACAACAACAACGACAACAACCAACAGCAACAACAACAACAACAACAACAACAACAACAACAACAACAACAACATCAAGTAGGAGGCCCTCACCAGCAACAACGAGCGCGTGGTCTTGTCGACTGAAGCGGACTCCTCCTTGGCGAACAGCGGAACGACGGCCAACCCTGCCGCCGCCAGGTACCCCAACGTGCCGAACGCTGATAACGGGACGCCCTGCACGTGCGCGCGGAGAGCATGAAGTCCAAACCGTTCAAAAATCGCAGATACCAATTTCTAATCGACATGGGGGAAAAATGAAAACTTCGTGAAAGTCGTGGGCCAAGTGACATGAACGGGCACGAGGCCCAAAGGCGCGAGAGAGCAACCAGCCGACGGGCAACGCAGAAAGGGGGGAACAAAGTTCAGGAGGCATACACGGGAAAAACGCATAAACGGGAGACAAGCGTGAAAAAAAGAGAAGGAGGAAGAGGTGCCGAAACACCGACACAACACCCATTCCGTGAAAAAGTAAACACATGAACGAAGAAGGTAGGTTAAGAAACGACGAAATGATGAGAGCATGCAGAAAAACAAAGTGCCGATGGCCCATCACGGTCAACGATTGGAGGAAAACGATTCCGATCAGACATACCAAAACACCATTGGCGACAAACGACAGCACCAGCACCAGCACCAGCACCAGCACCAAACAAAATCTACGAAAAGCTTCACACAACTGCACTCAAGCAGAGCGGGGCGAGAGCGAACCAAGCCCAATCACGGCATGGGGTACGTTCGGTCCCTCGTCCTCATCGATAGCCGTACTCTCGGGGCCCAACACCCTCGTATCCCGAAAAAAAAATGGGGCGTAAAGTACGTCGTGTTTCTCGCCGATCAGCGCGGGGGGGGGGCGGCCGATTCACACATACAAACAAGAAAGAAAAAAAAACTTCTACGAGCGGCACTCCCATCACGGGCCCTCTCACCAACACGTTCGAGTACGGCCCGTTGAGGACGTCCAGACAGCCTCCGCTGGCCCCGCACAGGAGGTCCAGCCCTGCCGGGTGGATCTTCTGGTACGTGAGGTACGCCGACTCGAGGGCCCCGACGCTGGCCAACGCCCCGATCGCCTTGCGGTTGATCGCTGGCCATGCCGAGTAGTCTTTTTCACACAGCAGCGGCACACAACAATATCGCAAAATGCGCACGGACCCACGCAGCATGGCACGTTAAGATACACTCCCGTTAGAGCGGTAGTTTGGGGAACGTACCCCGTCATGTCACCCTTACAAAGCGAGCGGTTGCGCACGAGGCGCACCAGAGGTCCCAAGGTGGATCACAAGGAAGCCGAGACAACATTCGTGGTTCTTTGTTTAGGTTTGCGGGTATGATAGCAGCTCTGATTCAGCTCTGGTGCGCTGTACCGTGACGAGGGACAGCAGCTCTACGGTTGCCGGTCCGCCAGCAGTGTATAGGCATCACTGGCGCCAAAAAGTTCATTTGGGTAATTGTCCACCACCTCAAAGTTACATTTTGTTCAGGCGATTTGTTTTGTATGTCAGAGAGATCGGCGCACTCTCGAATCACGCGCAGGACTTCGGAGCCGCACGGCAGCAATACCCTCGCGCCACTTTTGCCTAAAAAATTCCAACGTCGAAGTAGAACCTGGCCATCATAGCAGGTGCTCATTCAAGATACCCACAAAATATAGTACTTCGACAAGGTGGTCTGGCGGCTTTCGCCGCCCGTTCAATAGATTGATTCCAAGATACGCGATCAGTGGTACTCTTAACATTCGTGGCAGTTAGCACATACCATTGGCAATGGATCGGTCCAGAGAGAGAGGGCGTATGCGTACTCGATTCGTACAGCAAGCAGTAGTCTATACGACAGTACATCAACATGAAATAGATGATCAACGAGTGGTCGTGCTGGCGGCTTTCGCGGCCCCGCTCAGCAGACCTCGACCTCACCGCGCCAGAAGTGCTCGCGTGGTTGAGGGTCGTGCGAGAGCACGAAATGAATGCTGCCTGAACCAGAGGTTGGGGACAGCAGTAGCGCCTCGCGTATTTCGACGGGTTCAAAGAACCTCTGCCCAGCGAATTTTTTCGAACACACTACTGTAGTACTTGTATGCATAGCAAAATAGCACGATGAACACGATCTACAGCAGTTACTGCTGCTGGACGCCCATGCGACGTACATTTAGGCTATCACCTGTGCCCGACATCCCGCCGCTGTCACTCAAGGTGCGCTGCGCGCAACACTGCAACAAGCTATACTACAAGTAGATCATCATACTTTTGTACCTGAGGATTCTTCTCCGTCACCGTCCTCCGATGTAATGCCAGCCCCCATTATCAACCTGGTCGCGGTTGCCCCTCCCCTCACGCTCCCGCCAACGCTACTACCACCGACAGGGCGGCGGTTGGCATTCCTCGATGGTCGCCTCGCTCTCGAAAACATGACGCTGCTGCCGCCGCATCGCGGTTGCGTTTTCAAGCTCGGCCTCCCGGAGGAGGTTACAACGAAGGCAATACTGCCGGGGACAACGGTGAGCGTTGCCAGGACCAATGCGACAAATCGCAGCAGGGCCGGCGAGCAAGGTGGTGATCGCATCGTCATCGCAGCAGCAGTCCTTCTTGAACAGGTGGCACCCCCCTCTACTGCTGTAGGACAGTTATTAGCTGCGGAGGACTCGATTCAAATGTCTTGTCGTAGATTCAATTGCTGGGCTTGGCCTGATGCTTCGGCACAGCAGTGAGCAATGACACTGCACCCCAAGGTTTCAAGTAAAGACACGTCGCGAGCGCAAGTGAGAGATGGGCCCACTGCGCTGCTGTGTGTGTGCGGCAAGTCTGCTACATGGCGGCGGCGCAGATCATGGGAGGTCCGCGATGATCATTTGTGATGTAACGGAGACCCCTTTTGTCATGCACGGACCTCCCGGGGCCGGTTCCCGGTGCTCCACAGCCAGCTCCACAGGCAGTTGTTCCGCGAGGTGCCCCCCAGTCACACACCAGCACAGCACACCCAGCACCAGCAGTTGCCGACACGGCACTAATACGCAAGGACATGCAAGAATTCCCATTGATGCGAGAGTTGGACGAGCTCTTTCGGCAAGATCCTGACATGTGAGGGGAAACTCATAAATAGCTGTCAGTGTCAACGTGCTTGATCGAGAGGGACTGAACGCACACATAGGCCTACAAACAGATACCACATTATCGAGTGTATGTCGAACATTGGCCACGCCGACAGGCACCCACGATCTACTATGACATTGCGGTCATTTTTTGCGCACGGGCTTGGTAGTGTAGGACAACCACTGTAGACTATTCCGCCCGCCATTGTTGGATTGTTGTTAACGCCCCGTCCTCTCTCTCTCTCTCACTGGCAATTGATTTTTATGAGATAAATGTACGAAACTCCGCCAGATTTTTATAACCTGAACCTCCGCGATGGCGAGCGAGCGAGCCGCAGCAATACCTACCGCCCTAGCACCCTCCCGCCCCTGCCCCTTGCCGCGCGGTGGTTTCTGGCCTGCCTTCAGTGAAGAACTAGGCATAATCTTTAGTGTCCCACCACCACCAACTCCCGCTGGTCCACCAGCAGACGCAGCCTGTCCCGAAGAAACCACACCGTCTTCGACTGATGATGTAGCCCCGGAGCCGCAGTTCATCCTCCAAGAGCACAAGCTGGGGGTGTCCGTGCACAGCATCCACCCCCTCATCAACGAAGCACGGGCGGCGTTTCCTGTCGCCCGCCGGGAATACCGTCGGCTGAGACGAGCGCACTCGTCGCTCGAAAGGATGCCAAGCGAAGAGAGTTCGAAGCCGAAAGAAGGTCGGGGTGGCGCCCTTTCTGGTGTTGCCGTCGCCGCGGCGACCCTCTTGTCCGTTACTCGGGCCTTGCTGTTGGTGAACGCGGACCACGGGTCTGCGTGGAACACGAGGAAGCAGCTGGTCGTGGACGGGTTGTGCGAGGGAAGCTCTATCCCGCAGGAGATCAAGGTTGGTCAGTCGCGTGGCCGGCTACGGTACACCTTCGATGAGGTTGCGTGTGGGGTCTGGTTTGGTTGTCGGTTGCGAGGTTTGCTCACGGGCCGTCGGTGACTGATCGTCTGTCTTTGTGCGTGTGGATGAATTCGTGGCAGCGTAGCTGCCGAAGAACGAACGCGCGCTTGGTCGGTGAACAAATGTCAATGGGTGTTTGCTGCTCCCAGAGAGAGGTATTGCACACCTGTTTTACCCCATCGATGATCGTGTGTTCCTCCACTCACACTTGCAGCAACCGCCATTTCATCTCCCAGGGAAGAGATCAGGCGAATCCCGTCCATAGCTCTTCAGTTTGCTCCTCTCCACGCTAACCCCACTTGCCGCGGTGATACCTGCTGCGCAGCTCCTGAATTTGATCTTCACCAAACACGCCAAGAGCCCGAACGCGTGGGCTCACCGACGATGGTGTTGGAGGAACAACGAGAGGTTTCGAGCCAGGCATGCGGACATTACCTGGCACCCGCTCGATGAACAAGAGGAGTTGAAGGTGAGGTGACCTCAGCGTTATCTTGATTTGAAATTGCGTAGTACTCCCGGTTATGGCTTGAGCCAACACGAGCTTGCCACGTATACTGGCACCGTCAAGAACCCTGCGCGGAGAGAGGGCACTCGTTCGTACCACATCCTTTCGCCGGCTCTTGCCTTTACAAACGGCGCCATCATTGTAAACCAAGTACGCAGCAAACCCGTTCTTGTTTGCCAAGCCTAGGAACAGTTGGCCGCTGCACCGTAGTTTACGCTCAAGCAGAGTTTCATTAGGTCTTTTCTCCCCGCTATTGGTTAAGCCTATATGTGGAGCGTGTGCTTGTGCTCCCTTTGCGTTGCCTTTGCATTAAGTTTTACTCGCCCATGCCAGACGCTGCAAAGCATGACACCTGGGCGACCGAACGGTTTCTGATTTCCATCTCCTTCGGCGAAGTTGTCGGCATGAATCTGGCATGCATGGCATCTTGCTTTCCGCTACATGGCAGTATCAGCAACACGTATCGCTGTCGTGGGAGAGGGACTGACGCTAAGCTGCTCACGTTGCTTCGAACGCAAATTTCGTATCATCTCAGGTGTGCCAACGGGTCGCCGAGCTTTACCCCAAGAACTACTACGCCTGGACGCAGCGAAGCTGGGTGGTGCTTCGTGCCGTGGGAGGTGCTAGAGCTGACGCCAGCGCGGGGCAGGAGGGTTTGCCAGGAGAGGACACGCCTACCGCACCAGCGGCTGCAGAGCTGGTGAGGGTGGCTGTGATTGGCGACACGCCATCTTGAAATTTGCGGGACGCGTGCGTCTTCCCAGAACCACGGGCAATCAACACCGAGTAGAAGTGGATGGTGTTCAGGAATTCGGAGCAAGAACTGGACTTGACTTGATAGGCGCTTCGCGTCTTGCGAAGACAGGTCGTGGAATGATCCGGGGTGTGTCGCGCCCCCAGCTCAAGCGACCCGTGGAAATGACCTCGCAGGGTGACCAGTTATTAGTGTGACCCCGGATTTTCGTCTGCATAGCGCCATACGGTAGTAGAGTCGTTTTGGTCTTGGGGGGATCAAGGTAGAAGCACGAGGCGCGAATGGCATGCGTCGTACGTTCATTCTCCTAACGGTGAGCAACGAACGTCTTCACGCTGGTCCCGCTCTCTCTCCCACTTGGCATGTTCGCCCGGTGTACCCTAATAAATCACCTGCCTTCGCAGCTCGAAAGGGAGATCGAGTTTGTGGACAGGTGGCTGACGAGCCACGTTTCGGACCACTCCGCCCTGAACCACCGCAAGAACGTTTTTTCTGCGCTAGCGGCCATGTCGCCAGGTGAGGGCCATAGACGCAGGTCCACGGCCGCCCCGGGGGCTGTTTTGAATTGTCCTGCCTGGGAACGCTGGTGTGCGCGGGGTTAAGCGCTCGCACGACCAAGGATCGTCGTATTCGCCTTGAGTTCATTCAAGATGGTGTTTTGTTTCTGGGTGCATTGGTCCAGTAAACACCCCAGATCGCCCTTGATGACGGGGCTACTGCTGCAGGGTCGTGTGCATGTGCATACCGTATTTCCGCATCGCATCGCGGCGAACGTTTACGCTGGCCAGCATCACGGCCGCTTTTTGGCAATTCTCGTTTCTCGTCGTGCCGCAATGAAGTCGTCCCATCTGTAGAACTTGTCGTGAATTGTTCTTTGAGCTCCCTCTATCCTTGGACAACGTCGACCGCGCCACCCTCAACTAACGACAGATGCGCGCATGTTTGCGGTGACATGAGGAAGTATAACCACGGTTTGTTTCTTGTGGACATTAAGGCCTACCCCGTATTATCTACCACCACACGCCTCCGCCCTCTCTCCCGCTTTACCCACCTCCCTATTCCTCCCCCTCCCTCTTGCACCCCCTTGGCTGCCGCTGTCTCTCTCTGTCTCTCGCTGTCTCTCTCGCTCTGTCTTGTCCACCTGTCTGTCTGCCCTCCCTGCCCCCCCAATCCCGCTCCCGACGTCTACTCTTCGGCGCATTCTCTCGTTGCCCATCCCCTAGCCTCGGACGAGATGGCAAGGCTTGGCCTCGTGGACAAGGAGCGATCGGCCAACTCCAAGCTCCTCCGAGACTACCCTGGCCACGAGAGCCTGTGGTGCTACCGCCGCTTCGTTTGCCAAGCGCGCCTGGTCACCGCTCCCAGCAGCGTCGCCGGGCCGGCCGCGGCAGCGGGGAGACAATCGGAGGAGCCGCCCCCATCGTCATCGGACAAGGACCGCCGCGGCTCGTACGATTGGGAGGCGTGGGGTCGCGCCGTGACGGAGTGGCACGATGGGTGTGTCCGAGAGGACGACAGAGCGGCGGCAGCGGAGGATTCGGACGAGGATTCGGAGGAAGAGCACGAACACACGACCGCGACCGAGGAGACCGACTTCGAAGAGGCCGAGGGGGCGTTGCCCGGCGCCCCCTCCGGGGGTGGCCCGCTGGCGACGTTTCTCGGGCAGGAAGCGCGCTTCGCGTTGAAGTGCGCGACAGACAAGGTGCGGGTTGGTGGGGGGTGGTGCGAGGTTTTGGTGTATTGCTGCTCTGAAAACTGCCGTTTATATTCTGGTGTTTCTGTTGTACTGTATGTCTGGAATGGAATCGTGTTCGTCATTGTATCCAGTTTGGAATACCGCAGAAGGAGAGGAAGTGCGGTTTATTCAGAATACCAACAGATTTGTGGAATCACAATTTCTGGTGTAGAGTTGCCCACGTGGTGCTTTCATGCCCACCAACAACTCAATCGAGCCCCGAAAAAACTGTTGTCACAACATTATTTTAGGACAGCTCGCTTGAAAACGATTAGAAGGAGATCACTCTTGTTGGACCAGATTCCGTTGTTACAATCCTTCGCATTATTTGCACCTTGAAATTTGCTTGCACAAGGTTTCGGCTTGAAGTCAATCAAGCAAGTGTTCGTGAAATTCTGCTGGGAATAGTGGTTGAAGGGGAGTTGACGTTGCCGATTGTTCTCTGCCCCACCGGTTGCTTCTCTGTTGCAATTGCTTCTGTTGTCGTTGTCTTGTCGTTTCGTCTTTTGTCTGACGATGCCCACCACCTGTTGCCTGCGTTCATGCGGGCGTGTGTGTGTGTGTGTGTACTCAGGGCGCCTGGCAATTTGACCGGCAGCGACGGCACGCGCTGGCCTACCTCGCCTTCCTCTCGCACGCGACCGACCGCATCGTCTTGGGCAGCCACCACCACCACCAGGAGCAGCCCCGACGTTCATCATCGCGCGAGAGAAGAAGCCAGAACGGCAACAACAACACACAACGACCCGCCGGGGCTACGGGATTCGCCGGGAGTTGTAAAGATGTTGCAGGCCACGTCGGAGAGGCCGAGAGCACGGCAGGGGGGGGTTGCTTGACCTACTGCGAGGTCACGGGAGCCCCAAAGCTGAAGTTTCCGCTTGCCCTCCTCCCTTCCCCTGAGGCTAGCGCGCATGCGGGAGGGCCAGCGGGACACGATAGCCGTGGTAGCGTCGGAGGAGGTGCGGCGGGAAGAGGGGGTGGTGGTGGTGGTGGCTGCCCCAGTAGCGGCGTCGTCGTCGTAGAAGAATCCGCCGCCGTTCGAGCCCTCCGGGCTCTGAACCTGTTCGTCGCTGCGCTAGCCAAAGCGGACGCCGATGATCATGCCGTTGGGAAGAATAGGTGCGGCGGCGGCGGCATCGCCCCCTACACGATACACGTGTAACAGTAGAAGTAGCGTTTGTGGGTGGTACGGGGGGTGCCACCTACCTTGTGTACCAGAGCTTCTTGTGCTTCCGCTGCAATTAGGGCCCTGGTTTAGGGCATTGCCCTTCACCAAAGACGGACCTAATCCCCAGTTGAAACACGTGGAAAATACGACATACATGCGTGAGTGTTTTTCGTCCTGAACCGGTGGTTGCGCTTTGCGCCCATGTTCGCCTTCACCTGCTGGCAACACTTTTTTGCGCAAAGAGTATGATAGTTCCTGACAGAAAAAACGCTACTACAAAATAGAGTTTTTTTTCAGAGTGCCATGCTCTGCAATGCGATCCGCGCCACAATGTCTCGGGGGTATGTGCGTGCGCAGGAGCAACCTCGTCTATCGGTGTGTTTCAGCGACATTGCGAACAGTCGCTCTGCCACAAGTGTACGCGATGCATGTGCCCGTTTTGGTGACAGCTCTCGAATGAACGGCCGCCAGAGGCACAAGACCTTTTTGAGGGATTGACCCGTTGAGGTCAACAGGAGTGTGTGCTTGGGAGAAAACACGTCAGAACAGAAACAAGACACGGCAGGTCCGTCGGAATACCGGACCAGGCACCGTGTGGACGCCTCCATGTAGGTGTGCATGTTGACAAAGTCGCGACGATTCGCTTCATTCTTTAAAGGGACAGCAACGCGTGCTGCGCTGCCGATCTCGTTACACGAAGGGCTAAAACCAACAGATCTAACGAACACCAGCGAAATACCGCAACAAGCATCAACAGAGCATTTTCTATTCCGCGGCGTGCGCCAAGACTTCAATTCAACCCCAACAAAAGTGTCACACACGCCTGTCAGGTACAGAAAAAAAAAAACAATTTGAAACGGCTTCCCCGAAAGGGAACGGGCTGTGGCAGCGTGCAGACTTCTACCAAGCTCGGCAACCCAAATCGTCAGTCAGGAACGCTCCATGACTTCAGAGCCAATTTCAAAGCAAGAAAAACAACCTTGACCAAAACTCTCGCTCTAACACCCCCCCCCCCCCAACCCCCTGGCGCAAAAATCAGGCACACGACAACGCCACCCCTCCCCATGAGAAACGGTCGAAGTCGGATCGCGTCATATACACTTGCATCACATCCTCTCGATTGAAAGCCGGGTGATTTGCATCATCCACGGCAAACGGCCGTCAAATGTTCATGGGTGGGGGCTGGTACAGCGGTGGGGCCTTCCGTCCGTCACCCAGCTTTTAGGGGGGTTCCGTCGTGGTCCGTTTTCCTCAGGAAAAATTCCAGAAAAAGCGACCGACGGTTGCCGGAGGCCAAGGTGGAAAATTTACCGGTAGAGGCCGTTGTTGATGCGGTCGATCGTGTACATGGCCTGGGGGTCCATGGTGATGAACCTGCTCTCGTGCTTCTTGATCGCCGCCTTCTCCTCGTCTGCGTTGGCGAGAAAGACAGAGAGAGATACGTACACGTAAGGAACAAAGTTACATGCTGTCATGGTTTCGTACGTGCGGACAAACTACATTTGACGCCGACGCGGAACCACTTGGTGAGACCATGATGCTGTAGGGAGCGACAGAAGTGGGTGACAACCAGAACAGTTCTCGGCTCAATACCAACAAAGTGCTTTACTCCAGCCACAAAAGCTGGCGGTGTACTGTAGTGAACTCATATAATGAGGACTTCTGATGAGGCACCAGAGATATCGTTTAGGTGTCAATACTCCACTCTTTGCAACCCCTGCAAACCAAAAATAGAAGAAACAACTGAGTTCCCGCTACTCAAAAATGTGCTACACGATCAGCAAACCGGCGAATTGCGACCTGTCTCACCCGCCGATTCCCGCATTTGCTGTAGGTGTGCAACTTTTAAATTGCAAGAAATCAGACCAGAAAGCGTATGAGTTATCGACTCGTCAAGCAGACGAGGCGTCACAAAACGAGTAGCCGTCACACATGTCATGCTCTGACCCGTCCTCGGTAAGTACAGTTGAACACAGCCCAAGATACCGCGAGTTCCCTCGTTATTATAGCTTCACGCAAGCAAAGCGATGTACACTCTCTACGGAACACGCTGCCAAACAAAACAGCACACAGCAGTTGCGCTCTTCCCGCTGACTGATCCGCCGCAACAGCAACAGTACTCACTGGAGAGTCCCTTGATGCTGTAGATCTCCGACACAGACGAGTACGGGCCGTTCGATACGATCTTACCCGCAGCGCTGGGGTACCTGTGGATCGATAGTAGACACAACACGCAAGAGAACTAAAAACAGTAATGGTCAAAACATAAGAAAAAACAACGGCGCGGCCACAACAAGCAGCTGCCCGCCGTCTAGTACCACCTATTGTAAGACGGATTTGTTTTCGGGTTTTGTCGTCCCACCTTGTTCTCTTACTTTGCTTTTCAATTCTACCATCAATAGATATCTCCCACCGAAGCAAAACAACAAGTTGGGGACATGGTCAACCTGCAGTTTTCAAGCTGAGGACAGTAGAAACTCGATGCAACTCTAGTCTCGGGACCTCCGATGGTTAAAAAACGAGGCTTGCAGACCGCGTCACAAAGACACGGGACCCCGCACGCACGTCGAAAGCAAAACAGCCGTTTGCTTCCCACGCCATGTTCGGTTATGGGATGGGGGTAAAGAGTCATCCCTTCACTCTGTTTCCACGCATTATGGTACGCGCTATCAATGGGGGAACGCTGCTCCGTCCCGTTCTTCAAGTGAGGTGCGGGCGACGTCTGTTTGGACTTGTACATGCCCTTGTGCACGCTGTGCTTGCTGGGGCTGTGTACACCAGTTCAACGACCTACACCCATCTGCAAAAAAAAAAACACAAGACCACACAGATAAAAACGCCTCAAAAAAATTGGCGCCGCCGCGTACACTTATCAATTATCAGCGTGCGGCGTTCTGGACGCAGCCAAGCCGATCATTACGTCTTCATGCGGCTAAGCATACAACGCATGAGAGAGGAGGGGGCAAATGTTGACGCCTTCCGAACCTCACAAGCTTTCGCATCAGTCAAGTTCGGTGCTTAGTGGTTGTGTGGAAGGACTTGATGGGAGCACATACGAAAGACCCAATTTGCTAAATAGCTAAATAGTACCAGGCCTCAACAGGCTCACGAGGAGAGACCCATTACGATGCTGCTGCTGTTTCGCGGATCTCGCTTGTGGCAAGCAAACCGGTTCGCCAGTGCGCTGGATGTTGAAGCACGGCATGTGCATCACTACTATCTAATGCTCCCAGACAGGTGTCAAGGACAACGCGGTGTATACTGAAATGAACATCCACGCAAGTTGAACCAAGACAGCAGTAGCAGCGTAGCAGCCCACTTTCCTCCTGTGTGCATATGCTTCCATCAACCAAAAAATTACACAGTGCCGGTATGATGCTAAGTTTGCTCATGTGTATTCCACTTCATGTTGATAGGCAGCAACCGTTCCAAACGATTAAGCAGTGTCGAATGACGCAGCGACCACCCGCAGAACATGAACTACAGCTTAGCAAGAGCGCACACGCACCTCCAAACCTCAAAAACATTTGATACCACTCGATGTCTAGGCAACCGCGGGACCATGAACACACCTTGCATGCAGTGGACATACTGGTGCTGCTGTATCGGGGCCAAATGGTCCATGCATGAGACAACATTGACCTGGACAAGCAGCAAACTTACATGCCCTGGAGCTTGATGTACGCGCGCACGTTGGCGTTGTTGACATCGATCTTGTCGCCGCCGCCAAGGAAGGGCACGACCGGGTTGTCCACCTCCGCCAAAGCCGGCGCCGCGAGCCCCAAGAGCGCGGCCGCTCCCGCCGCCGACTTGAGGAAGTCCCCGCGGCTTGCGGGCGACTCGGCCGACATGGTGGTGGTCCTGGCGCTGCACGGCCGAAGACGAAGACAGCCGTGTTTTGCGTCACATTCAGGATGCCGAACATGGGGTGGGGGCGGGGGGGGGGGAAGAGAACACTCAGCAAGAGAGCCGAGCATGATGGAGAGATCACGGACCGAAATTTAACATTGGCAAGTGTATCGAACTTTTGGAGGGGAGGTGGCACATCACACATAAAAAGAGCACACACGCTTTCTAGCGAGGCCGAGCGCCAAAGAACATGAGAACACGAACACGTTCCCTGGGCAGCAAACATGCCAATGCAAAGCTGCTGCCCCGTGCGTGGATTCGGCAAGTACAGGCGTCGCTTGGGCACCTCGAGCAAAGCTGACTAACCCCCCTTCAGGGAGAGGCCGCATGACCTCCCGGTGCAACACCTCGCTTCCCCACTCCAGCGATCATCATCCGCGAGTCGCTGACCAACACAAACGACCGTTTTCCTCCAGCAATCGAGAAGCACGTGGACCGTGTCCACCATGGGGGCAAAGGAAAACAACCTACAACTCCGTGACTGGCCTACTACTGCTGTAGTCAATGCGACAGCGCTGGGCCAGCACCACCCCGTGGCGGTTGTCGCAGGCAATCCGACAACCTCATGCGTCTGTGTTTTCAACAAAATGAGGCGCATCAAATTTGGCGGCACATGCAGACCGATGTAGAGTTGCACCATGCCAAAACCCTTGGCAGCAGGAAGGGCTACGGCACCCTCCGGCCAACCCTAAAGCTCTCCCGTTTGCCGCCCTGCCTGCCTGCCTGCCTCTCTCTCTTATCTCAAACACGACAACCAGCCTCTTCTGCGACCCAAGACAGGTGTTGGGTGCTTCCTGTGTGTGCCCTCTCCTGTCCTCACCTCATGCGTGCCGCGGGCAGCGCGTGCGGCACGAAGGCCGAGGCCGATCCCACGCAAGCCAGCACTGCGACAGTAGTGAACTTCATTGTGTAGTTGTGTTGGGTGTGCTGGAAAGATGCGTAGAGGGTATAGGTGTGAGTTGGAAGATGGGCTAGGACAGATGTGACCAACGCGAGAAAGGCGGAGAGGAGGGGTGAGAAAGAGGGGACGACAAATCACTTGATTTTAGAGTTCAAGATTCAGGTTCAAGTGTCCATGATTTGACGAGGTGATTGAGATGTGGTTCCAGGATCTACAGAAACCAAACTTGGGGGCCGCAAATTGAATATCTTCGTCTTTGTCTTTTACTGCCGTACAGAGTTGAACACAAAGTCCGTGTAGGATGTGGGGATGCTTGGTACCTTCGTTGTCTCTCCCTCTTGTATACCTTCACGCAAAAACAGGTGCCACCCGTTTTGAGGCAGCAGGGATATATGCGAAACATCACGATTTGAAAAGTTTGACTACTCTTTGCTTCGGAATACAGCAGTAGTATAACGAGGCCAACTGTTGTGTCGGTTTTCATCATATACCGTCGAGACTATTCAAACGTTAGTATCATTACCCATGACTTGCACTTTCTGCGATACCCCAACCTTGCCTCCCTGAACAACTCCGGTCCATGTGTCACACAATAACTCGTTGATGTGCGACAGCGTTCAAAGCGTGTGTGTTGTCTCATCCCTTTTTAGGTACTACTTCGAAGTACTTTGTATGCACACAGCAGCAGCAAGCAGTACATGCTTGGATGGACGCCCCCAATCCCCCGATCAGGGAAATACAGCAGGAGAGGAACGCTACACGGGAGGATGTTTTCTTGCGTAGTAGAAACAATATGTCGCTTCGTGCTACCGGCACTACTCTTTCAAACAGAAGAGAACGTGGATTTGTGCAATTTCCTCTCGATCGACACACGTCCTCCGTTGGTGCTGTGTAGTCCTCACACTAGCGTTTGCGTTGGTTGTGTGTTTCGACTTCCACCTGATGTTGATTGTTTCGCAGAGAACCGTTTCAAATCGTCGCTTGTGACCCCTCCCATGTAGGAACGGCTGTGCAAGCGGTTTGAGGGGGCCGTCAAAATGCTCCAGTCCAGAACGTATCAACAACACCTCTGTCGATGCAACAGACCGACAGACATGGATGGCCTTTCGAAAGTCACGGACAGATACTACACCACGAAAACCCCCTAGTCGAGATGGTCGTTGTTGATCAACAGATTCAGCGCTTATCCACAGAACCCTATCCAGGAAGGGACGACAATGGCTGGCTGCCAGGGTACATGTATCAGACGTGCTGGTCACTCCATGCTTCAGACGATGAGGCCGGTGTATTCCACTACAGTAGCTGATGTTTTCAGAGGATAGGGGAGAAGACATCCCCGGTGATGCACTCCGGGGAAACGTAAGCATGTTTCCAAGCGCGGCAGGAACCCATCTCAGGGTGTACCTTGGTAGAAGATCTTAAAGATTCAACCAAGGCCGGCTCATAGCGCAAAGGGCGGGCCTCCACTTTGCAGCCGTGATACTATCGACGCCTTGCATCGCGACAGAAACGAAACCGCCGAAATTACAAAATTGGACTTGCGGCCAAAATCAATTTCAAGCCAAGGATTTCAAGTTCCACAAAAACACGCTCTCCAAGATTCCCACACATTTTGAAGCCAAATCCAACCAACGCATCTGCCGCAATCGCAAGCACATCAAGAACAGGCGCAGCGATACAAGCGTGCGCTAACGAGCGCCATGACCTTGCTCCTTCACGCCGACGGCGCATGGAAACCGACCAACCGCCCCGCCCCTAGAAGATAGCCCCATCGTTGGTACGCCGAATGAAGAGGGACACACACACAAAACACGCGAAATACGCCCAAGCGTTTTGTGTTCCGGCTGAGAAACGCGATCGAGTAGCAGGGTCCAAACGCCGGAAGTGCTACGAAAGTGCGCATTTATAGCGAGAATCAGCGGTGTGACGCCATCGATAATTTAACTACCATGCGAACCTGCCCGATAAATATCTCCCCATCGGTTCGTCATGATGCAATGTCTTTTCGGTTGGCCGTGACTACGTGGTACACGGTGATGGACACAAACACCAAGACTCCGAGCACGTTGACGAACCCCGACAGCGATGCGTCCAGGCTCTCGCTCATGTTGCGCTCCTTCCTTTCGACCTGGATTCCCTCTGCTCTTTTCCGCCTTCGCGTCTTCGCCCTTCTCCTCTTGCCAGCACCTGTCACCGCGTATGCGCAAAAGCTTTCCCACCTGTCGGCACGATACCGGCGCATGTAGGCACAGGGTGGGGAAGGGAAGGAAACTGGGCGGTAAGAGAAGGGCTTGGTATTACCCCCACCTAAAAATCGAACGGGCGGGGGGGGGGGTGTACTCATAGTCGTGCATGCCGTAATCGTTTGACCATTGGGGGGGGGGGGGGGGGGCCATGGCAGTGCCCACTTGAGAAGCGACGAAAAGAAACAACGCCCGCAGATTGATCGATGCGCACGATTTGAAGAGTGCGAGGAAACACGTGATTGCAGCAGTCCCGTAGATATGCATAGCTCCTGAAAGTTCTGCTGCGGCGCTGATCAGCACAGGGTGCAAGGGTAGCTTCATTGCGACGATAACATTGTTTGCCAAGCAAGGAAAAGCCCGGCGAGGGCGACTAATTCGCCGTGAGGCGTTAAGGATGTGTTGGCACTGAGCTCCACAAGGCGAATGACTGCTGTGCACCCTCTATCTAAGCTTACTGTCGTAAAGGGCAAAAATACCGAGGTCGAATGATGCAGCCGTACGGGTTCACCGGACGTCTGACTCATCGATAGAGCGAAAGTACAGACTTGAAGTGACAGATCCAGTGTTACTTGTTGTTCCGATGACATCAATACGCAGACCATCTTCAAGTTTTCAAAGGCTGGGACGTAGACGGAAGAACGCGTTGCGTTTGAGGCATGTAAGGCCGGTGCCTAGACAGGACATTTCTCAACAATAACAGCGACGTACGCATATATCTCCATCACAAATCACGATCATCTCCTTATCGGTTGGCCCGGTAACGGTACGGCTGAGCCGACGTCTAGGTAGCCCCAAGCTCTACTACAACAGTGATGTATCTCTCCCTCAGACATCACAACCATCTCTCAGTCGATTGGTGCGGTGACGCTACGGCTGCTAATAGCGAAGGGTTCAGACGGAGGTGATCTGAGTATGTTTGTTCCATGGTAGTATCCGAAGGACATACCGTATATGACACAAGATAACACACCCCCTGGACCGATTTTCAAAGCTCGATTACTCCACGACGAAGAGGATGCATAAACGAAACAATACGTTTTCGAACAGCTCTCGACGAGACGGTTCCAACGCCGCCGTTTTCGGCGCTGTGACTCTTCCTGCTGTTGAGAAATTGAGCTTTGAAAATCGGCCAAGGGGGTGTGTTATCTTGTGTCATATACGGTAGGTGAGCTGAGTATGTTTGCTCCATGCTAACCTGCTACATATAGGTGAGCTGAGTAGGCTCCATGCTGATCTGTGAGACATACAGCAGTAGGTGAGCTATTAGCTCATGATCTATCCCGTGGGCGAGGAAGCAAGGATTGAAGGGTGGTGGTCATCTACTACTACTGTACGGCGACCTCAAGGTATCAGATAACCCGCCGATTTCCGCAATGTGGTTCATCAAGGGAGAGTAACGCCCCATATGGCCGACCATCACGTACGGCTGTATGGTGATTCAGCTATGTTGCAACACGCAACGATAGAGTTTTTCCTCGCCTTCCGTGACCAAACGGTGATGGTCAGCGGTACGCAGTACCAAACAGCGACAGCTACAAGTTATCCTCTCGGTAACCCATCGTTAACTAACTCTGCGTGAGCTGTGCTGTTGTCACTGCTGTTGTAAATCGGGACATCATATGCGGCTCCACCCCAGCCGCACACCAGGCGTCCTCCTGTCCTACAAGTGCATGGTTGGTTGGCAAAGTCTCAACTAGTGTGCTCGATCTGCCCTACCGAGAGGTATCGTTGGGTGACAATCACGCCGCACCCACAGGCGGGTAAAAGCGACACAGCATCGCGAACGCTTACAGCAGCAATCGTACCCTTAGCATAAGTCTGATGAGAGGGAGGGCATAGTTCGTGTGCAGCATTCCCGGCTATCCCCGGCATCTGCCGATTCGCCACAACCGAAAGTTCCGTTGCCTTGGCGGAGATGCTGAGAGATTGAGAGGGGGACGGGGGATTCGCGGTACGTACCTCACGAGGTTGGACATTGGACACAAGCGAATCGGATACTGAAACAAGGACCTCACCTTTGATTATTTCTCCTCGCAACTACCGCAGGTTTGCCTAGCGGATGGCAACTACCTTTGGGTGGATGGCCACGCGAAGACCGAGGGAGCCAGAGCGGGTGTGTGTGACGGTTTGAGAGAGTACGGCGTTGAGAGGTTCTTCAAAATCCCGTTCGAACCCTTTGCAACTCCATTTTCGGGGCCAGCAACCTTCTAGCCCCCCCCCCTCCCCGTGGGTTCAGGAGCAGTCAGAGCTCGGCCTGTGTGCGTGGTGAGGTGCCGGGTGGGCGATGGCGGAGGTCAAGAGGATCGATGAAGGCACTGCCAATGGAATGCGAGCTGGTGCTGTTGTTTCCACCATGTCCCAAGCTGTACAAGAATGTGAGTTTCTCCACATCAAATTTAAATTTTCGAAAGCCCCCGCCGTGTCCGCATGTGTTGCTGTTGCTGTGGCAGAACCCCGCATTGTGCCCGGCGCGTGGTCTCTGGCTGGTGCCGGCCTAGCTCCCGCCCCCCCTCTCTCTCTCTCTCTCTCTCTCTCTCTCTCTCTCTCTCTCTCTCTCTCTCTCTCTCTTGTTTCAGTCTCTTAACCCAGATCGTACTCTTGTTTCCTCTGCCGCCCTAAACTACCTACGAGCAGTGGTCTCGAACAGTATCGATGCAGGTGCAACCTCCGTGGAAGTCAAGGTAGACCTTCCATCGTACCGGATCACGGTTGTGGACAATGGCAGAGGCATTCCGGCAGAGACTCTGCGGTCGCTCACCGCCACAGAACGAGGTGAGAAGGATACGCAGCGTGTAAGCCCTGCCCCCCTCTAATTAACGAAATACTGTAATTTTTTACTCCACTTCACGGTGAGGATCAATGTCCGATGCATGCCGCTTACAGCAGTGGCAACAGCCGAGTATAGGGCGATCAGCGCTGTTTGTGTGAGAGGCACACTCATTGGCTGTAGGATGGGTCTGCTCTCTTGGACTCTGCAGCTCGTGCATGTTCAATGAGCTCCACTTCATCCCAAACTGTAACCCAGCTTGCAACAAGTCACCGCTTGCGTCCCCTCCGTCGCCACCGCGGTGACGCTTCAGCAAGCTCAAAGGCGAACTCCGCCGTAGAGATGCAGCACGCGTCTACCTACGGGTTTCGAGGAGAGGCGCTCTACAGCCTGGCCTTGACGTCCTTGCTGGAGATCCAGAGCCGCTGCGCTGGAAAGGAACCGCATGCAAAGGTGGGGTCAAACGTAGAATCCTCGTGAACGACCTGCTGCTGCTGCTGCTGCTGCTGCTGCTGCTCATGCTGCTGCTGCTCATGCTGCTGCAGCCGACTTCCCTTGAAAGACCAAGTACTGCCTGTGAGACCGCTGCTGTTGCTGTTGTTGTTGTTGCTGCTGCTGCTCCTGCTGCTGCTGCTGCTGCTGCTGCAGGTAGTCCGAGAGGGTGAGGTGCTACACTTCGGCCCCTCACGAGCACCCGTACGCGCGGGCACGATCGTCACTCTGCGGGATGCGTTCTTCAAGTGGCCCGTGCGTCGAAAGGCAGCCAACGAGGTGCAGCACCTCGCGAAGAAAAGCTAGGAGGAGTCGATCCGAATAATTACGCTGCGCTGTCGTCCAAGGCTGTGGGTAGTAATTTGAAGGTGGTAAATACTGCAGCCGTTTCCCGCGGAATCATATCCCTCACTGGGTGTGCAAGAAACTCTGCCGTAGATACTATACACCCTCGGCACCAGCCATGCCTGCGTTTTACCATGTTACGTGGGCTTGTACCTGGCGTGTAGTCATCGGTTCCGTCCGTATCTTACACGTCGCGAGGTGTGATTTGATGCCTCGCGGACACCAAATCGCCTTTTTTTTTTTTTAATTGACCAGGACGGAACGAACCACACCTAACCCCATCACCCGCCCTGCCCACTCATCAGGTGACGGAGATGACACGCATCAAGGACTGCGTGTCGAGGATGGCCCTGGTGAACAACAGCGTCGCGATCACCGTGCGAGACTCCGGTGAGCACATGTTGACGATCGTGCCCTTTTGTGAAGGGCGCGCGCGGCCGTGTACCCACGCAGCCGAAGCGCTACCGGCAAGACCGATTTCTGACTTGGTTCTGCCTGGTGTGTCTCGACCCCACCAATCTCATTTTCCTTTTTAATCCTGCCGCGCGTGCACTGACCCGTGCTTTTTTGGGGGTCCCCGCAGCCAAGTCGAAGGTGGTGGTACGGGCCACCGCGACGGGGAGCGCAACCAGAACCTTCGCCCAGGTCTTCTCGTCGGACAAGCTCTCGCTGGCCAGAAAGGTGCAGATTCCTGTTTGTGTCACGAGTAGTGCAGTGCACCCCCTATGGCGGATTCACCTTCCTTTTTGTATTTGCAGCATCGGCAGCAGCAGCGGTATGGTGGCTTTTCCATTTTCCACGCGGTATGACACCTCCCAACTCCGGTGTGTCCCGTTCATGGTGTTGCTTTTAGCGGCTTGAAAAGTAATCGCTCGAGTGATCAATGTTTCGGTGCTACCAATTTTGTCACGGTTGCATCTAGGGTACCACATGCATCTTTGGAGTTGAGCGGCCCCCCGGCTGTACCCCCCCCTCGGGCAAGTTATTCCGAATTTGCTCTCCAACAGGCTTCTCAGTAAATGTTGCTCTTCGTGTCACTGCGGGTGCATTCAACTCCATGGGTTGCTACTGCTGTGCATTTATGCCGGTCATCATGATTCCGACCGCCTCATTGTTGAGCGTCCCCGTTGCGCTAGCCCTCGTTGCCGACGGGCATTAGCATTCCTCTAGCCATCTAGCCACACCTCCGCAAAGACCATGGGCCAGCCTTGGTAAGACCGGGTTACCTATATAGTACGGCTCCTGTGCGCAGTAAGACCTTGCTGGGTCTAGCCAGTTTTTTACTCCGAAAATCCGTCCCGGTTGAACGTGTCCATGACCAACCCTAGAAGCAAACCATTCTGCGGCAAAGACGGGCGACAGCTTTTTTCCTCCGCCCGGACGAAGCATTGGGGCGCCAAAGCGCGACAGGCCCAATAGCTCGCTGAGGGTGCGACATGACAGTGCTGCTGCCGTTCAACCCATACTCGTCAAAACCAAAGACGATTGATTGGCAGTACGGCTTGAGTCTGGCACTGGACGGTTTGTGTCTTTCGTGATGCCATTCTTGTCGTACGGTACGCTTTGCCAAGCTACGCCGCGCGTGACCCAACCGACCGCATTTTTTGCGACCCCCCCGGGCGACGACGCCCCCGTAGCGCAACGATGTTTGCCATCGGGGTTGGGTTTTCGTCGCATGGCAACGACGTTGTGAAACAGGCCGCCCCCCCTGGTGTTTGCCACCGGAGTTGGGTTTTCGTCGCTTGGCAGCGATGTTGTAAAATAAGCCGATTCACTTCGTGAGCTCGGCAACCAGGTTACCGCTTTTTTTTTTTCCTTTGTTTTTTTTTTTTGCGGTAAAACCATGAATGGTGGTCGAGTAGATTATGTTGTGTGGGGTCGAGAACCCTCACTCCGCGCAAAGGGGATAATCGCACGTTGTGTCAAATTGTTCAAGCACCCTCGAGGCAGTTACACAGCGCTTACAACTGTCTCTGGAAGTGAAAGCACCAGAAAATAAATTAAGTCATACGCAGCTGTCATCCGTAAGCAAGGAAGTAAGCACAATATGCCGAACACCCTTAGCAGGATGCAGCGCACCCTTCATGCGACTCGCCGAATACCTCACGGCGCTTCGCGCTTGGTGATGTGAGAGCCTGGTCCGGTGAGAACCCGGCGTGCTCCGTCCCGGCTTTGTAGGGATGCGAGGCCAATGGTCTAAGGATTCCGGCAGGCACGACTAGGAGTACCCCCCCCCCCCCCCGCCCGGGCGACGACGGTTACGTACGTACGTCCCCCGCAGCTGGCCTTCAACTTCAAGCAGTTCCGGATCACGGGGTACCTGTCCCCGCCCTCGTCGACCGCATGCCACTGGTCCAAAGAGTTCCAGGTAACTGCTTCGCTGTTTTCGTCTCCACGTTGTACAAGCGTGCCCAGTCGTGACCCCTGGGACTGGGACCGGTGGTGTGGGGTGGGGTGCCTGATTTTTGTGTGAAATAGGTCAAGCGCCTAGGTTGCTGGTGCGGGTGTATAACGAAGCGCTTGCGCGTGCACGAAATTTCTAGTACGCCGGGTCTTTAGGGCGGTAGTTTCCGTGTCCGGGTACGAGTCGAGGCGAGGGATTGGAATTGTTTTCGCCGAGTTTCTTCGAAACAAGCCACTTTTGATCGCTGAGACAGCACGTTTTTTCCAGTCACCAACCTCACCCACCCTCTGTAGTTGTTGATTGCATTTGCGTCTTTTAACCCCTTGCCGCGCGAAAGCCCTCACCTGATCCTAGGAATGGCCATTCTATTTCTAGCGCAAAGCTCTGCTGTGTTATTTTGCTTGCCCGAAACCGTCCCCGACGATAATTAACACACGCCTTACAGTACCCGCCTCTTTTCTCGCACGCTGCTTTCTTTCTTTCTTGCGTTTTTTTCGCTGCTGCTGCTGCTGCTGCTGCTGCTGCTGCTGCTGCTGCTGCTGCTACCGCCGCGACCGCCTACCTGCCTGACTGACTGCCTACGCAAACTGCCTGCCTGCCTGCCTGCTTGCCTAACCCTCAGTTCGTGTATGTTAACTGCAAGAACGTCCGGAAGCTCGACTTCCTGCAGAAGGCCGTCAACGCCGCCTTCGCGCCGTGCATGGCTCTCCTCGCCGGCCGCGGGGGCGCCGACGGGCAGGGGGTCGTCCGCAGAGTCCGGAACCCCAACGCGTCATCCGGGCAGCGGCAGGTGGGTGCTAAGGCTGTATTTTTATTTTTTTTGCTCTCTCTCTCGGGGGTGTGGTTGCCCTTTCGGTGTTTGTTGACACGGCGCGGACACGAGAAGCTGTACTGGTAGTTGCAGGTCGCGGGTGGTTTAGTTGTCACAGAGGCGATTGGTTCGAAGGGGGTGACGATTGTCATGTTTTCTGGTCGATCGCGCTACTGCGCATCTTGTTCTGGTGCCACGAAGCAGGGCCGGACGTACGTCACAGTACCCATTTCTTGTGATCGTGTGGAAGCGTTCAATGGCATGGCGGTACCCGCGTTGGTGGTTGTGACAGACAATAGAAACTCCTCCTTTTTCATGTCGCAACGGTTGGTGAATACTCGGTGTGTTGGCTGTAGGCATCGGGAAGGTGAGGCGGGGCGGGGTGTTTGCATCATCGTCTTCAGCGTGGATGTGAAAGATTCGTCTTGTGATGCCTCAATGTCTAGGGGTTGGTACCAAGCAGGGTCGGAGAGATCGACGGCAACCGCTTTTTGCGCTTCGGTCATGAGACGATCCCTTCGCGCTAAAACGTTGATACACATACGCGCAAGGGTAGTAGGCGGCGCCTCGCCCGATTCAAGTTACACACCACGACGGACGAAACGGGCCTTACTCGAACCACCTCCGCTGTGCACGCGCCCTCGTTCTTACCGCCCGATTAGGAGCTGTTCCCGGTGTTCGTGCTAAACCTCGAGTGCCCCCGGAGCGAGGTGGACATCATGTCGGATCCGGAGAAGACATGGGTCGAGTTCTCGGACTGGGCCGCCGCCAGGAACGCGTGCATATCGATGCTGCTGGTGAGTTGGCCTAACTTACCAAATGACGGGGTTTTCCACGGGGCCTCGATGTTTTGTGTGTGTGTGTGTGTGGTGTGCGTCTCGAGGACTGGCTCCATGTTGTGTTGCTTTCGTGGGCTTTTCGTTGCCCTCCTCTTTCTACTCGTTTGGTCGTCTAGCACCAAGCTTGTGTTTCTTTGCGAGTGTTTTTTTAGTCCTTTTACAATGTTTATGTTGTACCCTACTGCTACTGTAATCTGTGGGATGGCTTTGTGATCTGTGGGATGGCTTTGTGAACCCGGGAGCGGTTTTCTTGTCTCGGAGTGCGGAACTGGACCGAGGTTGGAACGTTCTTTTTGCGCAAATGACGCACCACAGCAATCACAGGAACAACATCAACACCACGTTAACTGCACAACTGAGGTGACTCCCAACTCCGGCCAGACCTCAGGTACTGTCTGCGCCTTGTCGAGCAGCAGCTCGGCGTGTGCAAGCTATTGCGGTACGACTCTTTTGTGTCTACAGACACCCGTGCACGCGGTTGTTTGAACCAAGTCTTGGTGTTCTGCATCGCCGACTTCATCGCTCGAAAAGAACACGACGACAACTAAATAATGTTATTTTCTTTCTAACAAATCCGAAAGAAGCTCGTTTTTCTTTACTATGCCTCTCTTCCCTCCTCTTCAGGCGTTCCTGTCCCGCTTCTCGCATGCGGTGCCGAGCTCCGTCCTGCGGGACCTCCGGCGGGCGTTCCACAAGAACGAAGGCGGTGGCGGCGATGCCTGGAAGCCGGCCAGCCCGCCGCCGCCTCCCGCCGCCCGCGGAGCCTCACCCGACCCGGGGCCGTCACCGTCTCCGCCCCCCATGCAGCTGGGTACGCCGGACGTGGGGGTGTCTCCGGCGGGGGTGGGCTCGCCGTTGGAGAGCTGCGCCTGGATGGGTCGAGACCGGGAGGTGGGCGGGATCGGCGAGGAGGCCATGGTGAGTAGTTGGGTGTTTTTTTTCTTCCAATCTGAGCGGATACCGGATTTTTGGTGATTAATGTGAAGTTAACAACCCCAACAAAACAACAACAACATCATGATCATCATCAACAACACTAACAACAACAACACCAACAACATTGTCGGCACGGAGAAGGATTCGCGTGGCAGAGCTCGCGACCAGCAGCTAGTAGCTTCGAGATCCGCCCACACTCGCCACGTCTCAATTTTTCTTCATGGGATACGTTTGTGTATTCCCTCGTGTTCTCGATGACCGAAAATTAGCTGTTTGAGGTTCGTTCTCCATCGTCGCCATACTTCTTGAGAAGTGTCGGCTCTCCCTCCCCCCTCGGGGGCGTGTTTGCCGGTCCTTTTTTCGTGCTGCCTTGAGGGTGGTGTGTGGAGGCAGTCCACTAGCCGATTGGCTCGTTCTTTTTGCCTCTTTCCGTACACGAGCAACAATTCTCGTCGGGTGTCCGGGTCGAGCAACAGCCCCCCCCCCCATACGAGCGTGCCCAATCTGCGTACCCCGATATCCCCCCTTTTTTGTGACGCTTTTTGCACGTTCTTCTTCCTCCCCCCCCCCCATGTATCCCTTCCCGCCTCGCGAATGCCGTGTTTTTCCCTTCCCTTCAGGAGTTTCAGGACCAAGGATTCCGGGGTGAGGGTGTTCTCTACCCTTCCCCGGCCTCCCGTTTCGGTGCTCGCGACACCGGCCCATCATCATCATCATCGTCGCGAATGCCGGGCCTCTCTTTCAGCGCCGGCGGCGGTGTCGGCGACGACAACCTCCCCGGCAGCAGCAGCGCCGCCGTGTCGCCGTACTTCGCCGCAAGCTTCGAAGACGACGGCAAGAGTCGCTACCACGAGGGCTACGACGACGACGGTCACCCGACCAGCTCGCCCTACTTTGCCCGCTGCCACCACTACGACGTCCGCCGCCGCAGCCCTCCTGATAACCGGCTCCGCGGGCGACAACTCGCCCTGGGTGAGTATACCGGCGGCGAGGAGGAGCGCCGAAGACGGCGGTGGGATCCCCGCCCTTCCGCCCTGGGTGCAGAAGCCGCCCCCCCCTACCCTGCTCCTTCCTTCGCCGCCGTTCGCTACGAGGGTCTCGGCATCGAAGACAAGGCGCTGAGCGACCAGGCGCGAGGTTCCGGGGGCCACGCAGATTCTTCCGGCGGGGGGTGGGCGGCGGAAGGCCCTCCCGGCGGAAGAAGAATGTCGGATCTGCTGCCGCCGTCGGAGGAGGAGGAGCCCGTCTTTGATGAACCCCCGCCGCCGAACGAGATTAGTTGTAGCGCGAAAGCGCACCGCGGCAACGGCCGCCACAGTAGCCGTAGCGACGGTCAGCGGTGGCAGAGCGGCGGCGGTGGTCCTCCTCCTCCTCCCTCGATTGCTGGTAGTACGAGGGGAAGCAGGCGCGGGGGCTGGCTCCGGCACGTTCCGGGCGTAACGGAGATGCGTCCGGGGGAGAAGGATCTCGACCAGGGCCAGCAGCAACTGGAAGATGATGCCGCGGACCGGGGGAGCCTGTCGAGGCTGTTCGACTACGCCTTCGCCGACAGCGATGGGCGGCGGCTCCCGACGGGGCCGGAACGGACCGGAGCGCTCGACGAGTGGGGCGTGCGCGGTGGCGTCCGGTCTTCGTCGCCACGGCTGCTGCCGAGGAGTGAAGGCGGCGGCGGCGGCGGAACGGCGGCCGGGAGGAAGGCCTTCGTCGGCGTTACGGTGCGACGCCCGCCGAGCCCGCAGTTTGCCTTCATGAACGAGGAGCGCTCCTCCCCCGGCGGTGCCGGCGTCCCCCCCCCGGCACCTTCTTCCCCCAGGCGGCAGCGAAGCCCCCCGCCGGAGGACCGGCAGCGTGAGACTCTTCCACCACCGAGCCGAGAGAACGGCGGCGGCGGCGGCGCGAGGACATGCAACCCAGTAAATCAGCAACAGGTTGGTGCTCGGACCAGAAGCCCGGCAAGGGCCACCACGAGCCCTCATCAGTCGAGCGGCGGGTTTTCTTGCCAGGGGGATGGTGATACCCCCGGAGCGTGGGGGGCGGCACCCGCCTTTGGCGGCACCGCTCCGCTTGGGTCAGCGCGTCGGATGGCGTCGTCTTCGTCGTCGCCCAAGACCGGAGGCGCGTCTGCGAAGGGGGGCACCCCTCCCCTCTCGAAGAAACGAAGGCGCCCGGAGACCCCGGGGTCAAGCTGGGGCGGCGCAGACCGCAGAGGTTCGCCGAGCACCGGTCGCTTGGCAGGACACCGCATGGAGGACGCTGAGCGGCATCGATCACCACCGCCCCCGGCAAGCGACCGTTGGTGGGGGGTGGTCAACAACTCTCCCGGCGGAGAAGGAGACGGCGACGGCGGTGTGGGGTTGGGGGACGGATGGCTCGGGTGGACGCGGGGGCATGGCCGTGCGCGGAACAGCGGCGGCGGGTGGTGGGGACGGAGTCAGGACGACACGCCTCCTTCTGCAGCGGGAGACCGAGCAACGCCGGCAGCAACGCCGGCAGCAGCGCCAGCAGCAGCGCCAGCAGCAGAAGCACCAGCAAAAGCAGCGCCGGCACCAGCACCGCCAGCAATAGCAACAGCAGCAGCAGCAGCAATCGCACCAGCACAAGCATCAGCAACAGCAACAGAAGCAGCACCAGCACCAGCAGAAGCGGCACCAACAGCCGCCGTCGCCCGGCTCCTTCAAGCGGACAATGATGGCCTTGGATGGCACGACGACGCATCACCGACGCCGCGGGGCGGCACGAACGAACCAAGACACCACCCGGAGCACGTTGGAGCGGCATCGCAGGCGGGGGTACCACCGCGACGGCGCGACGAGAGATTTTGCGCGGCAGACGGCGAGTCGCTGGGCCTTTCGGCACAGGGGGAGGCAGCAGAGACGATGCCTGGGGAAGCAAGTGTGTACAACAAGGAGAGCGACCAGACGGTAAGACCGGCGCCAGCCGGCAGGCAGCAAAACGCTTGTCGTGTCGAGGGCGGCGGCGGCAGGGGCGGCGCTCGCAGCAGCAAGGAGGACCGGATGCGGGCCGCGGGTGCCGCCCTCGCCTACGACCAGGACGTGCTGGGCGGCGACGGGCTTGGGGGGGACGGCGAGGAGGAGGAGGAGCCGGACACGGTCGACGGTGTTCTCGGGAAGTTCCTGGCAACAGGGGATTACGACAGGTGTGGACAACGGTTGTGGACGGTTCTTGTTTTTGGCGCAGGAGTGGAGCAAGTCGCTCGGTAGAGAGCACGTGTGTTCCTTCGAACGTAGAGCTCGAATGATGCACTCGCAAGAGGTGTGTGTGTGGGAAGTAGTGCCTTGTTGCATCGAACGTTCAAGCGGTCCAGAAGTGATGCGAACGCGGTGGCGAAGCAAAAAGTAATAATATGGAGAGGTATAGAGCCTGGCCCACAGGCGTCGCCACGGGGCTTGCCGTGCCTTGCCCGCGAAGAGGTTGTTGACCGTCTCATCCGGCGCCGCCAACGGCTGGTCGCGTCTAGAATTTAGTTTCACCTGCCTTGGTCCGAGACAGACAGACCCACACAAGCAAAGAATCGCCTGCTGGGCATTGTGTCGCGTTTTTTGTAAATTCCATCCAAGCCCCGGCGTCATCACACCCCACCCCCTCCTCGCGTGCGCTTCCCTCCCTTGCAGTTGTCACGTCTCCGACGCCGGTGGCGCGGCGGTCTACTCCCCCCAGGGTCCCGGCGGGGACCGGGCGCGGAAGGCCGGCGGCGAGGCCGAGAAAGCGGCACCAGAAAAGGACTCGCGCTACAACCCGTTGCCGGGGAGGAGAGAAAGGCAGATCCCTCAGGTGCTGCAGGCGGGCCAGGACGAGGTCGGCGCGGGGGCAGGCGCGGTGGCGGTGACGGTCACGCCGGAGGAGTTGAGTGAGGCACTCCTCATCGGCCAGGTGAGGGGGAGTGTACTCATGTAAACGCATGCCGTAGCCGGGAGACCATTGACCTCACATCCCTGCAATGCCGGGACGGAGCTACAGGGGGGGGAGGAGGGGGGGGGCTTCTCCACGACAGTTTTTTTTGTCGATCTGTTGTGGCTTCTTCACAACAGTTTTTTTTGTCGATCTGTTGTATTTGTTTCGCGGTGACGTGTGTTGCACCGTGTGCCAAGCGCTCGAGAGTGTTCACCGGGGCATGAAGCAAACAAAAGCGTAAGAGCCGCGCGCGAGGAAACTCATTGGGATGTGCCGTTGTTTTAGGCTTGGCTTGGATGAATCCGTGTTGTTTGTATGTTAAAAAAAAATGTGGAGTGGGAACGGCGCTCCGTTGCCGTTGACATGCACGGTCAGCGGTTCACGGAGACATGCGCGAGGATACCGACCAACCGGCGGTGTTGTAGGAAGCATGATGGATTTTTTAGGGACAAGGGGAAAATTATGCAGAGAGGGCTGTGGCACTGGGAATCAAGGAAAACGAAGCGTGTCGAGAACCGTGCCGATTGAAACGTGACACGCAGCAGCCCTGGGGCGATATGCCAAGGTCGAGTACACGTTAACGATGACGGGTCGAAAATGGCAGCGTTGGCACCCTCTCGTGGAGAGCTGACGAGCCTTCCGAAAATACATCGTTTGACTGTGGCATCCTCTTCGTCGAGCGGTAATCGAGCTTTGAAAACCGGACCAGGGGTGTGGTACCTTTCGTCATGTCATGTACGGTACGCGACAGACAGTGCTGACAAGTGGAACGCTCTTGTGTATAGGACAACTAGCAGGACTCTTGAGAGAAGAGCTGAAAGGATGTCGAGCAAGGGCGGCGGTGCCCACGAGCAGTGGTTCGTGGCAGAAGAGCAGGATGGTTTGGTTTGAAGAAGCCCCGCGTGTGTAAGATATGGGAAGCGGAGAGAGGTTGAAAAGAGTTCGCCAGGATGGATGTCGGTTTACGCGACAAAGAGCCGGGTTGTCGGAAGGAAAGAGGAGGAGTTGATGTGCGCTTGCCCTCAAGATGCTTGCCAGTTTTCCCCGGTTTCGCCGCGCCTAAGAATAGGGACCGAGTGAGCATTTACAGGCGATCTTCCCACCTGTCTTCTTTCGTTTGACCAAACACACACACTCTCTCTCTCTCTCGCACGCTTCATCGTTTTTTGTTGTCCCGCCCGATATGGTCGTCGTGTATGTTTCTCGACACTGATGTGTAATCCTCGGCTCTCAGGCGGGACGAAAATTCATCCTTCTTCGTGCAAAGACGGGAGCTGTCCTGTGCCTCGACCAGCACGCAGCGGACGAAAGGGTAAAGCTGGAGGAACTCGAACGTCAGGTGCGTGCGCCCCCCCCCCGCCTCCCTCAGTTCCGTACCCCCTCCTCCTTCGCGTAATCCATGGCCCATATGGGTGTACCACCCCTTTCGCACCCAGACTGTAGCGAGTGTCGAAGGCCATTCTCGTCGTCGGGGCCGATAATTAATTAGTCTGTTCTTGGGGGGCGGCAAGTGGTGATCTGATCATGATCACGGGGAAATCCCGCGTCTCGCGTTGAAGAGTAACCGCACAGGTGGTTTGTCCGAATACATATGTCCTGGACAGAGACCACAGATGACAAGACTTGTGTGTCTCTTTTTTCTTGCCTTCTTTGCACCAGTGTCTGTGCTGAGCATCTCGACAAGGGAGGGTGGTGTTCGGAACGACAGCGCAAGGATAACTAGCGCTGCAATGTGTGTATAGATTGCCCCAAGTTGTGTTCGTAGCAAAAGTAACGTGCAACTCTCGACCTTCATCCCCTTGCCCTCTCCCTCCCTCCCTCCGCCCCCCCCCTCTATCTCTCCCCGTCTCTCTGCATGTGTGCCTCTCTCGCCCCCCCTCTCTCTCGCTCTCTCTTTCTCTCGCTTTTCGCCACCTGGCTGTGTCTGCCGTGCCATTGGATCGATCGATGGCCAACGCGCACCTCTCTATGCTTGAAAAAAAGGTCTTCGGCGAGGGCAGAGAAAGGCGAAACGTTGAGAGGCTGCTGCTCGACCCCCCGGAAAAGCTCTCGATCACGCGCTCGGACGCAGAGTTGCTGGAGGAACACCGCGAGGTATACGGCCGGCCTGCCCTTCGGGTTCGAGGACGTTACGCTGTTTTGTTGACGCCACTCTCTCTTGTCTATACTCCTTTTTTTCGAAAATGTAGATACAATCAAAGAAATACTAGGCCCGTTCGAGATGTTACCACCATCGAAGGGGATGTTGAAGCGGCGAGAGGGAGAAAAACACAGCCCGCTGGTCCGCCCTTCGACATGAAGGCGTTGCGCGGTCCTTTGTCGACGTTGAATTCCCTATCCTATACCCCTTTTTTTAGAAAATGTACGTTACAATCGCAGAAATATACGTACAATCACAGGAAGACTAAATAGATCCGTTCGGATAGTACCGCAGTCGAAGGGAATGTGTTGAAGCGGCGAGGGGGAGAGAAACAGAAATCCGCGTTTCTTGCGTGTGTTGAGGAAGAGACCTCGCGCCGTAGGTGTGCTTGGCCCCTATGGTGGTGCCATGCTTTCCCGGCACTCGGGAGGAGGCGGTTTCCACCCGTCCCATCCCACTTTCTGGCCAGCCAGCAAGAGTACCTCCCGCGCTTGACGCCGCCCCGTGGGCTTTCTTATGACGGCAGAGCTCCCCCCCCCCCGGCAATAACACCTATAGAAGCCGAAATCAAACCTGCTTCTATATACCCTATATTCAGATGACGGGGCGCCGTTTTGCTGGCCGGCCTGGAGCTCTCCCGTTTGTACTGATGCGCGTGCTATCCCTTCACCCCCCGGTTTCCACACGAAACCCCCGCGGGGGCAGGTACTCTCATCTTGGCAGTTCGAGGTCAGGGTGGACCAAGCGCAGCAAGGGGGCGACGGCCTCACGCCGGTGGTCACCCTGACAGCCGTCCCCATGGTCTGCGGCGTGAGGTTGTCGGTGCAGGTGCGCTGCTCGCACGAAAGTGAAGTGACCACCAATTTCTTTGTTCGACAAGCGCGTGTGTAGAGGGAGGAGGGTTTCACGCCCGCAGCAACAGCGAAGATGTGTTTGTAGGGGCTCCGGATCCCTTTGCGGCGAGGGTTATTTTACAGCCTATGTTAAGAAGGACCTCCGGCCTCGGGGTCTCGCAAGTCCGTATGTATGCATCAAGAGGTGGTGTAATTTGTTTTTTGCTGTGTACTCGTTGGCGTGTCTCGTACACCTCCCGCACCTGTGGTTCCAGCAGGCTTCACGCGCCCATGTGTTTTTACCCCCGTTGTGGAGGCCCCTCTCTGTGTGGTTCGCTTTCATTCACTCACAACCATCGCGCAAGCCTCTCTTTCTTTGAACCAGCTCACACCACGCAACACTCAAGCTCTCTTTTTGAACCAATTCGCACCAATCACACGCAAAACTCGATCTCTCTTTCTATTGTTTGAAAATCAATCTCGCTCAGGACTTTGTTGGCTTCCTGCACTTCCTGCGCGAGAGCGTGGAGCCCGGGCAGTCGGCTCGCCGGCTCCGCCCGCCCCAGGTGCAGCACATCCTCAACTACAAGGCCTGCCACTCCGCCATCAGGCAAGCCAGGCGCCGTCGAGCGTGTATCGTGTTTGGGGGCCGCCAGCGTGTGTGTTTTTGACGGCGTGAGAGAGCTCAGCATCATGCGTAGGCTGCGGTAGTGCTTGACTCATGCCGAAGTTCTGATGCAGAGGTGTGTAGAGCGTGGCCCCCCACAGGGGGGAAGATCACCTATTTCGCTTGCGTTGCCTCGAGCGACTTTTTTTTTGTACTCGGGGGGGGGGGGGGGTACTGTGCCGGCAGGCCTCCCCAAGAGTGTGGACCACCCAAGCGCAGTTCAGTTCAACACCCTCGTCATCGTGCGGATGCGGGATGACCGACGAGCCTACGAGGTTTCGTATGTGTGGGTGCGTTGCGATGTCGAAGGGCCGCAAACCTACGCAGCCATGCACCAAGCTAGTCGTTCGGCGACAGCACTTGAGTTTCGCGGGGAGGGGCTGGCTTGCATGTGGGTGAATACCAGGTCGTTGCTTGCACGCCCCCAACCTAGGAAACGAAGAAAGCGTGTGAAAAGCTGGGTTTCTTTCTCCCCCGAGCGCGGATCGCCGACTTGATCCCGCCGTGTCGAAGGACAAAAGTTAAGGGGGGTAGAACACTGTCGTCCCCAAGAAGATATTATCCATCTGCCTGAAGAGTCGCCAAAGTTTTTCACCGCGCCACCGGCGGCGGCTTGAGCCAGCCCAGGTCAAAAACGGTTGCAGGGCTCGTGAAACCGATGAAAAAACTCCGACGACGGCTCGCCCCCCCTCGACGAAGAAGCCCTTCATCACGCGAACCGACCTTTTAGACCCCCCCCTTCTCCCCCTTCGTCCCCCCCCGGTGTTTGCCATCGGGGTTGCGTTTTCCTCCCTTGGCAACGGCCTTGTAAAACAAGCCGCCCCGCCCGGTGTTTGCCATCGGGATTTGGGTTTTCGTCGCTGGGCAACGACTTTGTAAAACAAGCTAATTCACTTCGTGAACTCGGCAACCAGGTTACCGTTTTTTTTTTTACCCCTGTTTTTTTTTTTTTTGCGGTAACCATAATGGTGGTCGAGTAGATCATGTTGTGCGGGGTCGAGAAACCTCACTCCGCGCAAGGGGGATGATCGCACCACGTTGTGTTAAAATGGTCAAGCATCCTTGAGGCAGTTACACAGTGCTTGCAACTGTCTCTGGAAATGAAAGCACCAGAAAATAAATTAAGTCATACGCAGCTGTCATCCGTACGCAAGGAAGTAAGCACAATATGCCGAACACCCTTAGCAGGATGCAGCGCACCCTTCATGCGACTGGCTGAATACCTCACGGCGCTTCGCGATTGGTGATGTGAGAGCCTGGTCCGGTGCGAGCCCGGCGTGCTCCGTTCCGGCTTTGTAGGGATGCGAGGTCAATGGTCTAACGACTACGGCATGCACGACTAA